ACACAGTCTACCTCGTGAAGAGTCGACATAAGTCTGGCACAGTCATGCATTTTCTCTCTCGACTCGTGTATAGCGCGTAGGACCACAAAAACACACGCACACACACACACACAGCCCGAAGAAACAGTCCGGCACAGTTATGCTCTTTATGTGGAGTTGTGTATAGCGAACATGACAACACAGAGAGAGAGAGAGAGAGAGAGAGAGAGAGGCACACCGGAAAACAGAGACGGGAAGAAAGAAAAAGGAATAAAACACACACACAAGGGTTCTCACTGTGAAGAAGGCAATTTTATTCCTTATATGCAAAGATTGAGAGGTGATGGAGTTGAAACCCCAGATTGGGGGGTGGGGGGAGAAGGTGGGAGGGGGCGGGGGGGGGGAGGGGGATCGGCAGGACAAGTACGGCTGTCAGGCGACGGCGCACACAAAGGTTCGCGCCCACCACCGCTGTCCCGCGCAGCCCCCGCCTTCAACGCCGCGGCCCAAGGTTGGGGAAGGAGGCGCGATGTCCTTGCACCGCCATACGTCTCGGCTAATGGTGCAAAACCCGAAGAGCTCGTAAGCATTCCCGTCGTCCCGACGAGTGGCGAAGTAGAAGATACCAACGTGAACCAGAGTGCCAACGAACAAAAAAAACAGAAAAGCGCGCTCCTTCAATAAAAAGGGGAAATTTTGCATCTGGGAATACCGGCTATACCCAGTACCAGTGCCAACTTGCATCTATGCCCCGAAAACGGCTCGTGGAAATTGTTTGCATGGCCAGGACCGAGGTGGACCGAGGTGGACCGAGGTTGGTACCACAAAATTGCGGTTATAACCAACTACCGGAATGCACAAATTATGGACATACCCACGCAAAATTATGGGCATACCCGGGACCTGAGGAGGAGAGGCCAAATTGTTCGTGTACCTGATGGCTGAAATTATGCTCATACCCAGCAGCCTTTGGGCCACAACGATCTACTTGGTGGGCATGATCATAATTTCGTGCTCCGAATCCAGGGCCTGGGAGATTGGGTACACCTTCAATTTCGCACAGAGGAAAAGCTGTACCGTGCCAAGTTGAACGCCCCCGGCGTATAGATGGATAGCAGGTATTCCCATCTTTAAACCACCAGTACTTGGCCCAGCTACCGGCCGCGGAAAGAAAAGGAGTAGAAACGTTTCTAGTTGGATGAATTTGGGCGCTCCTGTAGTAGCCCGTAGTTTCCTAAAATTGTGGTGCGTTAATGAGCACGACTCTAGGAAGTACTGGTGGTTTAAACCACCAGTACTTGGGCACTGCGCGCCGCGCCGGCCGCCCAAATCTCGAAGCAGCGCGGGCTGTCGATTCGATTTATCGACGGCCCGCCGGCCGCGGAAATCGCGTAGCGTTAACGCTAAGGCGTCGCCCAAGTACTGGTGGTTTAAGTGGGGTACGTATGCAATTTTCCCAGAAAGTACAAATTAAAATTAATTAATTAATTAACTAATGAAAACAGACAGCCAAGTTTTGAATGTGTATGATCAGCCCTCCCTCCCGCTGTGTCCTCCACCTAGATTGTGTGTTGAAGCCCAAGATACAAAATTTCCGGATGTACCTGACAAGAAAGACGGTCAGATGTGTGCGAAAGAACAAAGCGTTAGTTGTTAATGGCAATGTGAGAGTGTCTTTCCATCACCGGTGTAATTGATCTGAAAGATGCTCATAAAAATGTCGAATCAGGAAATCAATTTGCAGTCGAGTTAATTGCAAAAACAAGAAAATCAATCAAGTAGTAATAAGCCAGTCGTTCTGATGGAGGGAGACAAAGGTTTATGAGAAATGATTTGGTATACACACTCAAGGCAAAATGTCACTCATGCACAACTTGCTCACGCACATGACACCAACAACGCTCGACATGCAATGATAGTACCAAAAAACAACCCAATTCCAGAAAAGCGGATCCCCGACCGGTTTCGATCATCGCCCGGGTCGTTGTCCTCAGTTGGGTTCTTCCACCTCACGATCCCCATCACTTCTACCACAAAACCGCCTAGTATAAAGCAATTATGCCGTTTGCCCCGTCAGTCCCGGAAAAAGGACAGTTTCCATGCTCATCATTGCTTACATATGTAATCGGACCCCATTTGGAAAAATGTTAGAATACTAACAACTCAAGTCCTAATGGTGGTCCAGACCCAAACTGACCGGGTCCACCACAGGTTCCAACGATTACGCGGGCCTCCTCCCCTGCTCACATTATTCATTTGTCCCTGGTACCAAAAAATAAAAGGAAAACAAACAAAAACCGAGCTAGAAAACAACAAAGGCGCCAACCCTACCCCACGCCTTGGGAATCAAACCATCCTACTTCACCAACTATCAAAAATTTATCGTTTCCGATGGGAAATCCAACCATCCTCTTCACAGGCTGCCAACCATCAACCCTTTTCCATCGTCCATCCTAGTCTCTGCCTATTAACGCCCACACTCTCCGCACCTCCAATCTCCGCACCTCCAATGTCCTAGTATAGAGCAATCATGATGCCCTAGATCAGCACTAACATGATTCCTTCATTAATTGACAAGCGTATCCCCACAGGCCCACGGTTTCTCGACGGCTTCTTGCGAATAGCTTCAGCACGCACAAAAACAGATCATTATGGAAATTCTTAATGCACAACTCTCGTCTCATTGTGTTTACTCTTCGAGGAATTTTTCGACGGACCAACGTGTTGTTGACAATCCGATGCAATTGACTTGCAATCACAACGCTCTTTTGCGCTTGGCTACCCCAAGACAAATACGACGGTCCGTTCTTAAACTCTAGTTCCTCAGTGATCCAAATATTTTTTTCACTTTTTAACAATTGAACACTCATTGAACACTCGTTACTTTTTCCAAAATCTTATCAATGTGTATGCCGCAACCGAGAAAATCTCATACTCTTGTTCTGTCATCAGCTCTTTTCAAGGTCAGATTAGAGAGAGAGAGAGCATTTTTCGAAGTCCCTCTAAATCTCCTCTAATTTGTGCTCCATCAAGCTTTTACTTGCCACAATTAAACTTACATTATCAATCAATCAAATGTCGAAAACCATCGGCCTTCGATTCCCCAAGCTACACATGAATCCGAATTTTGTGTGGGCGCAAAGAATACGAGTCGAAGGTGATCTTGTACTCTTGCCCATTTGAATCCTGATTTTACCTGCTTTATCAACACATCCAACGCAAGAGTATCAGTATGTTCGAGCTCAATTTTAACAAAATGAAATACATCATTAAAATTCAAACTCCTCCAGTGATCTTGTCCATTTGTCACGCCGAATGATGCTCCACATCCTCGCTGATTAACTCGAACGAAACGTCTTCTTTTCTATTCATGAAGACTAATGATCCACCTCACCGCCTTCAGTGTCTCATCGTGCAATAAACGACTCAATATATCCTTAATACCTTACAATCATGTTGTCAAGCTCACACCAAGTCCAAGTTTTTGCTCCTATTACACGCCTCAAGTCTCTCCGTCAGATATGATACGACTTTCAAGTTGAAATGTTGATCCTATGAGAGAAAGGACCCCGACGTCGCTGCCTTACTTGTTTAAAAAAAATATAAATAAATAAATAAATAAACAAAAGAATGACTTGGAGCGAAATGACAAAATTTGATCCATAGGAGATTGACAACAACCGCCAATTCTCTCTCTCTCTCTCTCTCTCTCTCTCTCTCTCTCTCTCTCTCTCTCTCTCTCTCTCTCTCTCTCTCTCTCTCTCCCCCTCTCTGTGTGTGTGT